GTTGATAAATCTTTTGTTTTGCGACGAGAGAAGGACGCCTTAGTATGGCTTCAAAACGGTTTCTTTGCTTTTGGGCAGCATGACCTCACAGTCAGCCCTCTTTTGCTTCGAAACGCTCTGTCAGTTTAGGCACACTCTAAGAAAAATTACAAATTTCTGTATCAAATTTGTTACAGTTTTCTGTATCCGGGCACTTTGATACACAAATTTGCATCGGTGATACAAAATCTTGTAATAGCTTATAAAAATCTGTAAACATTACAAATTTTTGATTTTAATTCAAAATTTTATACTCATCTTATGATTTTCTGTAATCTTATTACAAATTTCTGTAAACGGGATACAAATTTCTGTAACATGGAAATAGAAATCTGTATGTTCGTTCAAAAATTTGCGGTTTTAACGTTCAATTTGAACACGATATGAGTAGCAGTTAGACTGAATCTAGCACCATATACGATAAAATCAATTTTCAAAGTATTCACATATAAATCCCATCTAAAAGCCTGATAGCTAAGGGAAAGGCTCAGGGGCCAGCCAAGACATGAGGAAGAATTACACCGGGTCGGAGCACAGTTGCTCGCAGGTAGTCGCCTTAGCCGCGTGGGCTAAGGCGTCGAATTCCAACCCAAAGGTTCAGGGTTCAACTCCCGGTTAGGTAAGGTACAACTTAAAAGTTAACTGCTTGTCATGTGTGGGCAACACCTAAAATGAGACAACCAGCAGGAAAAAAGTATTTTTCTTTCATATCGAAGTATGAACATCGACATATTTTCTTCTGTATCGATGGATACAAATATCTGTATCCGTATTACAAATTTGTTTTTGTATCCGAAAGTATACAATTTTTTGTATCACGGATGCTGAAAAAACTGCACATCCAAATTACAGATTTTTGTATTATTTTTTTTTAGAGTGCACCTTTTACAGGGAGGGCCTTTGATCTTGAGGGCCGCAGGGTATTTTTGTTTTTAACCTCAATTGGTCAATCACTTGTTTCATATTTCTCCCTTCAATTTTTTTTCGGAATGGTTATCTGCTAAGGCGGCGTGTA